AAGCATCTCGCGTTGCCATCTTCACATTGTAAACCAGTTCTTTCATCCATCCCCACACACAATAATCCAGTGGGCTTAAGTCTGGAGACCTGGCTGACAATTCTTCGCGTACTCGTACGTGGACTGCGGTGTACCATACGAACAATGCCTTCTTCATTGACGCCTTCATTAACACCACGCTCGGCTGCAATACGAACGCCGCGAAGTCTACCGGTATCTCGCAATGCATGGTAAACTCCAGTGAACTCTCTCCGGTTCGGTATTCTACGATTCGGAAACCGTTGCTGATATTCAGCTACGGCAAGAACTGAGTTACCGTCACAAAACCCGTACACATAAATCATATCTGCATACTCCTCAAATGAAAATGTAAATGGCATCGTGAACGTAACAGACACACCGAGATGAGAACTGTTCTGAACACCAGTAGCCGCCACACTAGCCGTGGCCGGACATACCAACCCACCACGCCTTAGGTACCTCTCAAGTGTCGAGATAACGAGAACACTCTGTCTGTAGCTGGCTAAAAATAGCGACCCGCCAGATGATAGACGCGGTTCACACGAGGGCGTGTACGGGAATGAAAAAACGGTCGTAACTCCGTAACCGTCCAAAATCGGATACATGTTTATATGAACTTTTTTGATCACAATGACCTAGGAAATCACCTCCTGCAGTTATTCCCTAAAGTTGTGAAACGCCCTGTATATAAACATTAGGTTGGAACGAATGATTACATTCGCTTTTATGATTGGAAAATAGCCTCCAGTACCCATTTGATAAGAGTCTGAGTGTGAACTAAAGCTGACGACAATATTCTGGTTACAAGAATAATTACTGTTTTTTGGGGGGCTTGAACTCTGGCCTTCCAGCTCGTAGCCAGTAATTATGTCGTCTGACAGTCTATGTAGCTGAAGAAGAGTCGTTAAACAGATCATGAAATATACCACTCATTTACAATGAGAACCATGTTCAGTTGAGGAGGCTTCCTGAGTGTTACGTGCAGGCGAACGAATCTGGTGGCACAACGCTGTGAGCTTAATTACATTTAGCTCGGTCATTACTATCAGAGTCTTCATGCCGTCTGTTGGGCTGGCTGAAGGTCTAGACGGACCCGAGGATCGCCACCACCTCAAAGTGTGCCAGATGGTATTGCGGTTTGGGAGAGAAAAAAAGCTTGAGAAAGAGGGATCTACAATAGAAGGGACAAGCAACAGAGAAAGACAGCTAATCAATCGATTGTTGTTGTATGGAACCAATTAAAGTATTTCATTAAATATTCTGTTCAAACAGTAATAGATGACAGCTTAATAATTAAATCAGTGTTCGTTAGATACAGGTAGACCAATAATCAAATCTTAGGTTTTGCCTACTGTTTGAATTCCTCTTTCATATGCCTGCACGTCTTATGCTTAGATTTCTCATCCTCGATGCAGATAGTATGGACTCAGCTCTTATATTACTGTTTTCAGGATTTAGCGGTGGTTATGAATAGTTCTACCTTCCGTATACTATAACGCCGTTGAAAATCAAGATGGAGAAAATATGTTCTTCCGAAAGGTCGGTTGACTTTCAACGGACTACACGGCGTTATATCCCAGAAGATAGAATCCTACTGATTGTTTGCTTATATGAACAAGGATCTCTTAGACAGTGAAATGTTTGGCAGCGAGCTGAAAAGATTTTAATACACGTAGAGACTGAAAAGTTTTGTTCTGAAAATGTATTTCAAATGGCTCAGGAACATATTCAGACTCCCCCGTGACTAAGCCAGGCGAATAGAGAGGATGACAACTAGTACACAGGTCTAAAATGCTTCGAATCCAGTCACTGAACCAATGGAAAATGATAAGATATTTATAGAAGGCTGATTTGGACTACATGATTGGAAAATGTGGCCTGTTTTAATGTATATTAATAACGCTGAGCAGACCACAGTGGCCGCGTGGTCTAAGGCATTAAATATGTTCGCCCACTCGAACGCTGTGTTCTTGGATTCGAATCCCACTCAACACATGGATACTTTCCTGCATTTATCATGTGTTTTTGTTCTCCTGTGTAGATAGCGGCCTTCCGTCATTCTGATCCCCCGTCCAAGGACTCCAACCGACTGTCTAAGATTAAGAAGCTGAAGTGAAACGAAGCGTTTCACGGATGCCCTATGCTCCAATAGTGACAACAGGAAGAGATAGTTAGATAGATAGATAGATAGATAAGATAGATAGATAGATAGATAGATAGATAGATAGATAGATAGATAGATAGATAGATAGATAGTTTTTTTGCAGTTACACTCTATTTATTTATTTTGTCTCTATAGATCATTCTTACATGATATAGGACAAGTAAACTTGAGAAAATGCAGGATTAGTTGTGTACAATTCTAAAGAATACAATATACACAGGTCCCTTAAATTTCAGCTAAGCTACATATGCTTCATATCACATAAAAATAAGATTCAGGTTTCACACAATGGCACTGTATGGTTTCAGTTTGATCTGTGTCACTGAAAAGGACTGCCTTCTTATGTCACTGCATAGAACACTCTTCAAATTCATTTAAGCCTCAATAAAAATTTATATTTTTATTCTTATTTTTTCCATCTCATTGATTCTGTTTCTTAAATGTCCCTTCTTTCAATTCATGAAAACTTGCTCATTTCATGTTTTCCTATTAATTAATGCACTAATCACATCCAGATTATACCACAGAATTCTGTATAGCCTCTCTTCATCTGATACCTGCATAACTTCATGATTAAAATTTTCTTTGTTGAATATTTGCGTTACCTTTTCTGACTGACCACTTGAAACAACTCTGATCTGCTAAACTGCTGCTGGATTTTGCCAGTACAGTCATTCTGGGTTTCATTTTCGGTTTTTGGTAAATTGCTGCTGATCTTCACCAGCACAGCCATTCTTGGTTTCAGGTCCCGTGGAACTCATGGCCATATTCATCCATCTCACGACTTCTGATTTCAGTTCTGGGTAAATTGCTGCTGATACTTGTCAGCACAGTCAATCTTAGTTCTGGGTTCCACGGGAGTAGAGACCATATTTTTCTGTCTTTAGACTCTGGGATCCATGCAACTACTACTGCCAGGGTTGGGTAAATTGCTGCTGGTCCTCACCAGTACAGTCATTCTTTGTTCATAACATTAATCACAAAGGAAAGAGTTTCGCCAGACTGGTGTATTTCTGCAACGTTCCTTCTGCATACCATAGTCTTCTCCATCTCTTCGGTAGCATTTTCTCGAACACTTTCTTCTGCAGACTTTCTATTAGGATTTTCTGACAAATCTGCACCTCTATTTTCTTGCTCATATCTGCTTGAATTTGAGGGAACTTGGTTGTTAGAAATGCATGTACTTTCAGTGTGGAATGGCATACAGCAGGCAGGGATATTTACAGATGCAGTATCATTAGTTCGGGCTGACAATTTTGGCAATACCTCATCCTCTTGTAATGCTGCAATTACACTGCTTCTTTCTCAACAGTGTTCAAAACAAAATGAAACGTGTGCAGGACTAAAGGAAAAAATACCATGGTCTCTGAAGCTGTTCTCAACTTTACCTAGTTTGGCTACCCTCAGTTCTTTTATAAAAGCAAATGACATTCCTTTGTGGTACTGGTTCATTTGCCAGATTTCGTATGTATGCCAATTTCAAGGGCTCAAAAGAGCTAAAGCACAGAGACTGAAGCTTGTGTGATCCATGAGAAGGAAGGCTTAACATAGTTACATTGTTCTCTCTGTAGAATATTACTGCTTCCAGGCTGCAATGGAATGTGTTTGCCAAAAACAACTAGCAATGGGTCAGTTTCTATTGCCCTGATGTTATTTAAAAAATGATTCAGCTACTGAATGGAAAGATCTCTTTTCATATATCATGTGTTAGACATCAGTGGTAGATTTCCAGTGACAGCTTCAGAATACAAGTCATCATACTTGTACATTCTTCTGTTGCAAAGTATCTTAGCTGATGAGATAACAATAGAATTGCTGAACCAATAAACAACAGTGACCAGTTGTCCACAATATGTGGACACAATTTTACCCACAAATTATTTGTTCTATTCTGCAATCATCCTAAACAAGTTACTGGGGTCAGTGCAGTAACCACTTTTATTCATGTTGAAAGATAGACAGACAGACAGACAGACATATAGATAGATAGATAGATAGATAGATAGATAGATAGATAGATAGATAGATAGATAGATAGATAGATCTATAACTTTCATATTTTAAGCAAAAGATTAGCTGAATTACACAATTGCATGCAAGAAGATTGCCAGTCGGGTGAAATTATTCGATCTTGTAGCAACGTTTGTGAAATAATTCATAAATATTAGAGAAAATGAACGATTAAGACATTTTAGAATTCTAAAGCAAGGGTTCATTTTGTAACTTGCCTGTATTTGTGAATAATAATTCAGTCGCTCTATTACTCCTTGGAGTCCCTACAGCCCCTGGCGAGGTTTCTGAAGATGTAAATAATAAAGTGGGTTCAGACTCCGAGACCAGTAACTGCAGACAATGGTCTAATTGCTAAATTCCCGAAATACATTTGCATATTTTGCGACTGCGGATGCTGTAGCGCAACGCGCTGCCGAAAGGCGCCAGTTCTGACAGTTCCGGCCGGTCGGGCAGCCGCCGTAACCACAAAAAGTACAACACATACAACAGGTAGGAAACTCCTCCTTCCTCTCCACCTTTCCGGTCGGGCACACATTTCATTCTAGTAGCTGTGGTAGCCGTGGGCGCCCCCCGTGTCCCTCGCTGGTACTCTGGTCACGTGACCATGGCAGCAAGTTTTAATTGGTTAGAAGGCACGCGCTGTTGTAAGGACCCCAGAGGGCTGAAAACTAAGCGAATGAAGGGGGGATGGATTTTATGCTTCCATACAGGCTACAGAGGAAGAAATACACCAAGATGATATAAAATGCTATAACAGGTTGCTTATAGGCTTAGTGCCGTGTCAGCCGGCAGTTGGGTAACGCTGGTGTGGTTTGTGCTCTTCCTCTCGGAACCACGTGGTAGTTTGTGCGATTGTCAGCTGTATTCAGGGACAGTGTAACCGTACTGTGGCTGGATTGTTACTCAAAGTTTGACGGGTTAATTATGCTTTATTTAAACTATTCTTACAGTTCTTATCGAAAACGTTGATGGAAGTAAACTGAGATTCTTTTTAATGTATTACTCGAGATACTAAGTGATACAGATTGCAGGAGTACTTCGTTTTGTGATGGCTGCTGCAACCGATATGTTTCGTTATATATACCTATGCGGTAATAAAGACAACAGTGATACATCCAGCTTCGTAACAACGTCTACAGAATCTGCAGTTCTTCCACCATCTCCTACCCTTCACCAACCTGCACAGGCATACGTGTTGCCACATTTGAGCTCGGAAACCTCTACTCCCTTTATTTCGTCCTCACTGACATCAACTTCACCTTTGCCTTTCACACATCCAGCTACACATTCCCCGCCAATCAAAACAACACCAAATATTTTGAAGAGTTCTTTATCTTCATCTAACCTGCATCATAGAAGTTTCGATAACCTCTCTGACGGCTGTCACACTCCGAGCCCAGACAGTTTCCGTTCTGCTAGTCCCACATCCGATATAATGGACCAACATAGTCACTTGCCAGTGCTCCATAAATTTGGCATAGAAAATACTAAGCAGTATACATCGTTGCAGAACAACACGTTCAGGGGATCTTCAATATCACATATCAGTAACGTGTACGAGTACAGGTCCTACCACAGGATGGTGATCGATGAGAATGTCAACAACAATGCTCTACCTTCTTCAACAATGGAGGCTGCAAAAGATACAAAGAAGAGTAAGGGGCAGAATAGGAGAAGTGTTGTAGTATCTAACACCATTCAAAGGACGTTGAAGGACATTGACGAAAAGAAAGGCAGTGTATGTTTGAAAGAGAAGACTGAAGATTTCGATAGTACCAGAGATGACATTGTTGACAATGAGTGTGATGACTTCGATAATGATAGTCTCATGCAAGACAGTGGAGACGAATCGTCATGTCCCGATGACATACGGCAGGAAGAAAATGGAAAACATCAGCATAAAATAAAGCGACGCTCTAGCAACAAACTGGTGAGCCCAGTCATTATGAAAAAGAGACGCCTCGCTGCAAATGCTCGAGAACGACGCCGCATGCAGAATTTAAACAAAGCTTTCGACCGTCTTCGTACACATCTCCCATCGCTAGGAAACGACCGTCAACTCTCAAAATTTGAGACACTTCAAATGGCTCAGACGTACATCACAGCTTTAAACGACTTACTCCAGTGACGTGATAAAATTTGTGTGACGTGTGACTAAAATGTCTCAAAACTATAATTAGAGTCATCTGCAGACATTACCTCAACTACATAGCTGAACTGTATGGACTTTACCGGTGTGATAACTTCAAGGAAATGTAATTATTCGAATGCATATTGAGTCTAGTGATCCATAATTGCTCATAAGTTTGTCAAAGTAACGTTACGTATCGAGATAAATTAAGTGGAAGCAAGTTGTGTGAATGCATTTGAAAGTATAGTTTCGAGGAGACACGAAGTGAAAAGAGACTTCAATGCTGGAATAGAAAGAACACTTGTGAGCGAAATAGTGACTTCCTGATTTTTTCTCTTTTCACTCGGTGCACGAATATTACTGCTACGTATTGGTTCAATTAATTAGTACTGATGCTTAACGCACATGATAAGCTCAGCCCCTTTTGAAACAGTTCTCTCTATATCTACGTAACCGAGATTAACTCTTAATGTTTATATAGCTCTTTGTACAGTGTGATTTTTATGTAGATAGTTTATTGTGCAAATTCAAGGGAGTTACTAAATGCGTTATATAGCTACTTGTTTTTGTTATATATATGATAGTTGGAATATTGCTCAGTTTTATAAGATAAAGTGACAAATTTTTGTAAATAAAGTATATTGTTTCTTCTAGTAGTAATGCACAGTGTTGTTAATGTAAGTTTTATTTCCAACTGAAATTCATAGTGATATTTAAATAGCCAAATTAATACATTATCACAAATATTCGTATGTTTCTCAATATGAATATTTAGAAAATACTTCTTTATCTCAAATTATATATATACGTATATACGTTATCTGTAATAAGAAAACCGTTGTTTCTTCTTGCAGTTCTAAATTGTTTAATTGCCATTGCATTAGGTTTAATTTTGTTTCAAAATATAATCAGTTATTAAATTAGCCTTTTGAATCCTATAATGGAGATAAAGTATTACGTCAATCCTAACGCGATCAATAAATTATCAGTCAATTACGGGTGCCAGCATTTCTACACTGAGATTCAAACATAAGACTGTATTATTGTCACTGTGACATCTAATGTAAATATCACGGAGAGCGTGTTTCTAACACGCACATGAAAAAGTATTTAAAATATTTCCCTCACATATGTGAATTTTTAGTAAGAATTTTAATTACAGATGATAATTATTTTAAGTTAAAAGAAAGATTCGTAGACCTAATGAAGCCACGTATTTGAAGGCATCCTAAATTGTCATTACTAATTCGACACCGTGCACATGTGCATATTATTAGTTAAGGTAGTGTAACATTAGTTGCATTTTATGTTCAAAATTAGGATACAATGTAGAAACTTACTAAAATAGTTCCATTTATTTTGTGAATTTTCTTTTCCTTTTGTTGTTTATTTAATTTCTTAAGGGCTGAAACATTATTCCTACGGAGTACATAAAATGCACTCATAATACACGGTACATATGTCAATTCAGCTGCATGTTGCATTTCCGAAAATTAATAATCTGATTGAAACACAATTTTCAATTTGTGTGTGTAAAAATATTTCGGGCCAATTTCATATTCGGAATTTCTGCCGAGATTCGACCCTAGTACCTCCCCACAAGTCCAGAGGGTTACCGCTACATAAACATGCTTGGAGCTATTTTACATGAAGTTCGTATTCAACATTTTAGTTTACTTATGAAAATACTGACTGGACAACAATGTCGTACATGGCAGCGCGCAGATCTCTTAGCGACTTACGCTTTTAAAAAATTCTGCGCCGATTCACAGGATCCACTTAAACTAATGTTTTAAAGTAACTATGTCTAGCTACTCTGCTCCTCTCTGTAGTGTTCCTTGGCTTTGCAACAGTTGAACAGAACAGAGGCCCTAATCCGTCAAATGGACAATAGACGAAGAAGAAATATCCTCTATGATATGTCATAAGAGAACATCAGGAATAATGACTTAGGAATATACAAAGCAGTAAAGAATAAGGTAGGCCGCACACCGGCATGCGTCAAGACATGTAACAGTCAAGACACAATATCTGCTACATGACGCAAAGAAAGGACCACAGTTGAAATTGATAAAATTATGAAAAGCGCCTCACACCGGTCTGAATCACGATACTGACGTCAGCTTCAATCTGACGAATCACGAATGAAGCAAGTCTACGTCTTTTGTCCCATGTCTTGATGCTTGTCTTGACGCCTTACATGGAACCAGAAAATTCACTGCGGTATTCACGTGAGTTCACCATTGGTCCCTGCCCTGAGTCACATAAATCAAGGACACATCTTCGCAACCTACTTCTTTAAGGTTCATTTAATTAAATCTTCTCATCCATGCCTAGCTCATTCAACTGGGCTCTTCCTTTTATGCTTCCTGCTAATTTGCATGAGATTTTAGTCGCTAAAATTCATGTTACATGTCCCGCCTATCTTACGGAAAAAGATATAACTTGGGACAGTCACACAAGAAATAATCAAAAGGAAACAAAACAGATACTGCTTTGTTCCTTTTTTATGATTTATTGTTCCACTGTCCCGAATTATATCTTTTCGTAAATGACACACAACAGGATGCATACCATAAAGGCCGCCTATCTTATTTTCCATAATTTGACTACCCTACTGATATTTACAAATTGTATAAAGTTCAGCGTTAGTCTCCAGTATCCCTTTTACTTTCTCCTTCATATATACAACTATTCTTCTCAGCACTCAGTTCTCAAAAATTTCATTTTCTTTTTCTTCCCTTAGGGTGAGGGACCACGTTTCACGCTCATAAAATAAGAGGTAAAATAAAATTTTCCCTATGCTTAATTAATTAAACACCACTCCATGAAGACGTATGGTGGAGTGATATAGCTCCACCATTCTTGACCTTAATACTAGATGGAGGTGAGTGGTAAGATTCACGCCCTTGCAGCTCTACATCCTTTAAAACGACCCCAGTGTCCATTGGATATGAGGTTGGAAGGACCCCAGAGCCGATTTGGAAATTATGGAGAAGAGAAAAATTTTGTCCCTTATATTTATCGAACCGCGGCCTTGCAGCCCACAGACCGTCGCTATTTCGAATGAACTATCCCGATTCCGAAAATTAACAGATTTGCTCGTAATTGTATTGCCACGTGTATTCGGGGTAACGTGACTAATAATAACGGAGTCTAGATTTGACGATTAGGTTTATTTGACGTCACTATCACAATTACACTCCATTATAACAGTACACACATTCAAATCCTTCTGGATACCGAGTCCCTCGCTGTTGCCTGAACCTTACACCTCTGGTCTTCTGGAATTCTCTCTTAATCTGGTCACACTTCCGCGGCGCGTTCCTGGTTATAACTGTTAGGCGGCCGTGACAGCAGACACCGCCTCGAAGGTTGTCACTTTGCGTATTTCTCTTTTAAGAAGTCGTTCCTGTGCAACCTAAGTTTCGTTACTGTGGTTATCGGCTTTCAACAGTGAAACAGTGAATCATAGTAACTAGAACTGTTGCGTAGCAATGGGCGCCTATTCTTCTAATGCTTAGGAATACGTTCACCCAGTCGTTGGCTGGCAATGACGCCTGGCTCCGTCTCCGATACTCCGGCTTTCAGGCTGCGCGTCACAATACTTTTGTACACAGCAAACTTTGCATTTTATTGAGGAAATTGAATAACAAAATGTTCAGGACTGAACGGTGACAGGAACTGCATTGCAATCAGAAAACTTACTTTAATATGTGAGGTTGGGTACAGCTTTATTAAGGCAGTTTCTAAAGTATTTAAGAGGTTTGTCTCTTTTTTTTTATCTCTAAAATATGTGAAAATTGATGGATTCTTCTTGTTTGAGACCGTCAGAAAAATCCGCAGTTTCCGCTGTAAAATCCCAATCAGCGTTCTAATAATTTTATTCCTTTTATCTTGATTAAATCTGACCAACAGGTGATATTATATTTTATATATACAATTCAGATGCTTTACACGTTGTATTCAACTAGGCAAAAACAAAAAAGACGTCCATAACACAGGAAACTTTATCAAGCTATATGAAAGGGTTGGGATAAACAGAACACAGAGGGAACTAAGTACAAAACCATGTTTTGTTACCGGACTCATAATATTGAAATATCCAATAAATCCTTCCAAAATATGTCGAAGTCGCTTAGGGTGCGAATAACAGTAACAAAAAATTGACCATGACGAAATTAGTTACGACTATGCAGAGAATGATTGCCGTCATTCTGTTCAGGGTTTCTTGCCTTCTCTTTGCCCACCGAAACACTAAAGTTTAAATTATACAGAAGTATGAGTACTGCTTCCCATTTATGGGATTGTGAAAGTAAAGAACTGTGTCTTGGGCTTATGGTTGAAGGAGTAAATGAACACTGGAAGAAATTACGCAATGGAGAACTTCTCAGTTTGCATTCTTCAGCCATTAGAGGTTTACTTGTCTTGTCTGCTCTTGTCCCATTTTGTTATAGGGTTAAAACTGAAACACACTCATAATTGTGGCAGTATTATTTTTGATAATATTAATGCTTGCTTATTTGATATTCGTATTAATATTATTTGTATTATTCATATTATTAGCATTTCATATTTTATTAGAGCCCTTGGTTGTTGAATTCAACGCGAAAATAAATAAAGTATTTAATTATTATTATTATTATTATTGTTATTAGTAGTAGTAGTAGTAGTAGTAGTAGTAGTAGTAATAATCTTTCTTAATAATTAGTCCAAAGAGTAGAGATTCAGAAGAGCTTTCAGAATCGGAAAAGTGGTGGGATGTTAATGATACGTTTGAGAGGCAGTTCACACCTGCTGTTACTAAATGCGGCATTTGGACAGCCGTACTTTGGCCACCCCAACCACTTCTACACTTCGCGTGCTTACGTCAGGCAAAACTCAATACCAACCGACCGACACCTGATATTAACATCTAGAGTTTCGGGCAGGTCTTAGGAGTTGGACAGCCTGATGCTTTCTTTACTGGTCAGGAAGAAACATTTAATACACGATCGATCAGTTAGGTGTGGATCTACTGCGCCGAGAGATTAATGTTACGGGCCTGCGTTGTTTCGCCGTTGCCTGTCACGACGTGAGCATCCGCTGATGTATAATTACTGGGAATTTGTTTCTCCGGTCAACAGAACGTGTAACTTAAACAACGCCTATTCGTATTCCTTTCTAAAGATTATGAATATCTATTTTGAAAAATAACGACGTAAATTAGGCTTTAGTTTTTTCCTGTTGTGTGTAACCAAGTGACACACAGTATCGTCATAACCGTTTGCTCTTCAAGGTACTTCTGACGTCATGAACAACCTAAGAGTATAACATGATATAAGGTATTCTGGTTACAATTACGGTGAAATTTTGAAATTAATGGCTGTGCATTTTCCAAGTTTTTATTCAGTCGCTGTTGCAATATCAATACGATGCATCATTTTCTGTTGCATAATTACGCAATATTCTATTAATAACAATGTTACCATACTTTACTCGAAGTTACATAGTCACAGTACTACACCCAAGGTCATGAAATAACAGAGTAAGTAACCACTCCAGCATT